TTATGATAGTTTACATGGGAGAACATTAGTTTTACATTCATCCTATCGTATATCATTTCATTGCCATGGTTACAATCTCCTCCATGCATCATCAACCAACCAAAGGGTGTACCCTGCAAGCCTGCCCCCCTGGTCGTCAGCACATAGCCCCTCTCCTTCTCTGGGTCTAGAATCCCCAGCTGCTTCATCTCTCCACGTCATCGTCTCTGCCTCCATTTTACTGTGCTTTTGGTAAAAGTTTACATAACAGTCATACGTTTTCCCATTCACCAATTTCTAGAATGATTGTTCAGCGACTCTGGTTACATTCTTCACCCGGTGCAAAAGTTCTCATTGGTTCCATTCCAGTTGCTCAGTTTCTATTAACGGAGACACAGAGACATTGATGAGACACAGGTACGGACACAAATGAAAGAGAAGTGTGGGAGGAGGAAACAGAGATGGGGCCAGAGAAGGAAGGTGGCAGCAACAGGTTTGGTTCTCAGTTAATCTTTTTATAACTTTTTATTGTGAACTGAGTGAAGGTTTACAGACAAGATGATCAATTTACACTTTGTATTTCATCTCAATGATTGCAATCCTCTCCATGCAACAATAGCCATTCCACTTCCTCCCTGAGCTTCCTATTTCCAGCCCCCCACCTCCCCACCACCCCCACCCCGTCCCATCCCTTCTCAACTTTGTCCGTAGGTAAATGCTGCCCTTTTCGATTTGGAATGATTGAGCATACCGTGGTGAGTATACCTTACTAGTGGTGTCGTCCCTTCTCAGTGCTTGGTTGAAAATTGGGCCATGAGGGTGAGTTCTTTCCAGATCTGAAGGGTGGTCGAGGGCCATCGTCTGGGGTTCTTCCAGTCTCTGACTCACTTAATCTTTTTGGAAGCAGATGGCCAAGTCTTTTCTCCACGGAGTGGCTGGAATATGTAACCACCATGCCGGCAGGGCTCTTTGAGTTACACAGTGCTGACTCTGAATTGCAGAGGTTAAGGAGGAGGACAAAATGAAAGAGACTGAGCAAAGCCAAAAAAAGCGGATGATGAGAAAAAGGAAGCGATAGAAAGTTAGAAAGAAGTGTGTACAGGAATGGTCAGGGAGGAGAAAGGAAGTAGAATGGGAGAGACAGGGAGAGATACAAATGGGTGAGAAGAGAATGGTTGTTTACCAAATCTTCTGAGGTTCTCACAAAGCAATTCCAAAACACATACTACAGAAAATGAACAGGGAAACTACTATCTTGGGCACGGATAACTTTTTTTAGAAAAAGTTTTTATTGTGAATTGAATGAAAGTTTACAGGGCAGATCATCAGTTTTACATTCACCAAATCATATACTTTGTTTCATTACAACGATTACAATCCATACCATGTACCATCAGTTAATAGTATTTCTCTCTATTCATTTTAGCTCCTTAAAAAAACAAACCCAAAAAACACTCAGACATATATGATTTAAACCACCAAAGGGCACATTCTGCAAGTCTGCTTCCTGGCCACCAGCTCTCAGTCCCTCTCTTTCTATGAATCTAGAGTCCTGAGCTGCTTCCTCTCTTCATGTCCCTATCTCTGCCTCCATCTCTGGTGTTGCTGCTCCTCTGGATAGGGTCCCGCATTCTGCTCATGCTTTTCTCCCTTGATGGTCCTAGGGGCCTCTGTGTCTGGACTGTAAGATTAACCACTCCCTCGTTTTTGTGACAAAACTTCTACCTTTGCAATTTGGGCATGGATAACTTTGATATACAAACTGGCCAAAAGTTGTGTACAGAACAAAATCTCACTAATAAGTATAAATCACAAATTCTAAAAAAGTATTAATGAAATATTCTTTTCAAGGAGCCCTAGTGTTGCCATAGTTAAGCACTCAGCTGTTAACTGAAAGACTGCACCACCTGTCCCATGGTACAAAGATGTGGCAGTCTGCTTTAGTGAAGAGTCCTGCATTGGAAACCCTCTGGGAGAGCTCTATTCTATACTTTGTTGTTGTTGTTGTTAAGTGCCATGGAGTCGGTTCCAACTCATAGCGACCCTGGATAGGGTTTGTGAGGCTGTAAACCTTTACAGGAGCAGAAAGCCTCATCTTTCTCCTGCAGAACTGCTGGTAGTATTGAACTGCTGACCTTGAGGTTCACAGCCCAACTCGTAACCACTATGCTAGCAGAGCTCCTTATTCTGTACTATAGGGTCGCCGAAAGTTGGAACCGGCCCAACAGCAATGGGTTGAGTCCATTCTTGGCTAGCATTCTTTCAAAAATATTTACATGACACGAACAAGCAAGGTTTATTCCAGGAGTGCACAGATAATTCGACAGTACAGGGATGGCACAGATGGTAAGCTTACTACTTGTATATTGAGACTGTCTGGGTATGAATCCCAGCTTGAGTACTTAAACAGCTCTGTTGATTTGGGTAACTTACTTGACCTCTCTATCCTCCACTTTTCTCTTTTGTAAGATGACATTCAAGGATCTCTGGTGGCACTGTAGAATAAACACCGGACTGCTAATCTCAAGGTTGGCAGTTCAAACCCATCAGCCGTTCCTCAGAAGAAATGTGAGGCTTTCTGCTCCCATAAAGATTTACAACCTTGAAGACCCTAAACGGGTTGCTATGAATTGTAATCCACTCGAGGGTGGTGGGTTTGGTTTTTGGTAAAATGACATTAACAACAAAAACTAAGAGTAGAGTAAAGGAGCTCTGGTAGCATAGTGG